GCAACCCTCAGTGTCGCGCCCGTACCGGACCGGGACCGGCAACGGGATCGCAACCCTCGGCGCTGCGCCCGCACCTCGCTCAGCCAGTGAGCGGGAACCAGTCTGTATGTGGGATCCGAACCCTCGGCGGGAGCGTCGCCGCGCTCCCAAGCGGCACACTGTAGCAGTGCGCCACCGGGCCGGCCCCTCAAATGCTAATTTAATTAACACTAAGATATACCACTGCTAAGAGTACTGAACCCTTAAATGTAAATAAAATGAATAGATCTAAAAAATGAGAGGAAAAAATTGTGGAGCTTTAAAATACAGGATAAGCTCTTAATGAAGAAAAGGAACACACTTATGTGACTCCACCTAAAATTACTCTGTGACTTACAGATCAACTAGAACTGGAATGAGCATATTAATATGTAGGAAAAGAAAACATAAGATCATAAGTGTTAAATCTGTGTTGGGAGCTGTACTATGTACTGGTTAAGTTGCTGCAGAGACGCACAATGCATGATAGACTTTGTATATGTAATATATAATATATAATATAAAAGTGCAGAAGTATGCAATTCATCCCCGTGTCTTCCATTTGTGTTCCCATTTCCACATAGTAGAAGGCAAGGAGAACTAAGAAAAAAATGACACTAATTAAGTGGCTAACTCGTATTGGGAACTCTGTTATTAAGTGACCTAAAACAGGCCTGTCACTAAAAGAGACGACCTTTTGATCTCCAACTTCTGATGTGCTTGTCTATCCCATTTGTTTCAGAACTCACATTCATCTATTTTCTTTAAATACCTACATCTAAATAGTACTTTATTTAAAAGTATATATTTTTAAAAATTTAGGTTTTAGGTTATGGGTATCTCTGTGTTTGTTTATATTTTTTCACTTGTATCAACTAGTAGAGTACAGAATAGCTTGTGAATATCAATTATTTTTAATAAAAATCACCATTTATTATAGAGTGAAGCATTCATGTTATTCTCCTTTTTTAAATGTAGACATTTGAGAATTATTGTATAGCTTTGTTTTCAATTAATGGTTTTATAATAGCTTGATAATAAGTCGATGACTAGACTATTCAACATTTTTTCTCATTGTACTACTTAATTCAGCTCCCAAGTTTGTTCTCCTACATTCAAATCACTATGTTTGAGCTTTCTAATTTCTGCTGATGCTCAAAGGCAAATTTACAAATATGTTCTGTTAATAAGGGAATCTTGACTATATATTCAATTTATGTATAATACAGAGGATTTGATACAAATTCGCCAAAATAATTTTAATAAAGTATATTAGAAATGTTATATTAAGTGATCTCCTGTTTGGATAATTATTTGTGTTCAAGTGATGGCGTGTATCTAAGAAGGTACGTGTATCTAGAATGTATAAAGAACTCTTGTAACTCAATAATCATAGACAAAATAAATCAGCAAAGGATCTGAATTGGTTTTTCTTCGAAGAAGATAAATGATTGGTTAATAAACATATGAAATGATGCTCAGTGTTATAAGCCATCAGTGAAATGCAAATCAAAGCCACAGTGAGACACTACTTCATGCCCACTAGGATGGTTAAGATAAAAATGGCAGATATTAACAAATATTGCTGTGGATGTAAGGAAATTGGAACTCTGATATATTGCTGGTGGGAATAAAAATGTTGCAGCCCGTTTGGAAAACATTCTGACAGTTCCCATAAAAGGCTAAACAGAGTGACCATATGACCCAGCAATTCCACTCCTAGATGTATACCTAAGAGAAATGAAAGCATATGTTTAAATAAAAACCTTTACTCAAATGTTAATGCAGCATTATTTGTAGTGTTAGAAATAACCCAATGTACATCAACTGATGAATGGAAAAATAAAAAGCGATATATCCATGCAATGGAATAGTTTTCAGTTGTAAAAAGGAATGAAGTACTGATGCATGTTACAATATGTATGAACCCTGAAAGCATTATGCAATGTGAAGGAACCCCGACAGAAGACAAATAGAAAACACATATTGTATGATTCCATTTATATAAAATGCCCAGAATAGGCAAATCTTTAAAAACAGAAGCAAATGAGTGGTTGCCTAGGGCTGAAAGGTCGGGGGGGGGGGGGAATGCAGGGTGACAGCTAAAGGGTATAGGATTTCTTTCTGAGGTTCTGGAATTAGATAGTGCTGTTGGTTGAAAAATACTATGAATAGACTAACAACCATTAAGTTGTAAACGTTGAATGGGTGAATTGTACAGTATGTGAATTAAATCTAAGTAAACCTAGTACAAAGAAAGTTATTATGGTAGGTTATAGCATTTACTGTGACACAGTTGTGAAATAACTTTTCACGTCATTCTCATTTATTGACAATCCCTAATCATGCAACAACAATATCTTCAACATCACTTTCATTTTTAATAAGGCAAAATTCTTTGGATTATATTGGGAAAGGTCTTATTCTAAGGATCACTGAAATTCCTTTTTAACTTAGGTCAAGTACAAATTTTTCACCAGGCAAAACTGTGCATCAATAAATATTTACTGGGAGTTGCAGAATGTAATTTAACTTGAGTCCATGAGTAACGAGCTGTATTAAACACTATTTAATGGACCTTGCTTTATCATTTGTATGTGCAACAATGAAGTTGGATTAGATATTCAGCGCTATAGTTGTATGATTCTACGACAATGATAGTATGGCAAAATAATAAACACAGATGATGAGTTCTATAAATGTTCAATTAGTTGGTATCAAAATAATTTTGTAATATTTTATTTAATTGCATCAAAAAGCTGAGTTCTTTCTGCAAAGAAGAAACAATTTCATTCGCGGTCCTGTTACATCTTTTCTACTGCACAGATTAAAGGCTTGTAAATGTACAGAACAGAAATATTTGTATTTGTAACTTTGAGAAAATGGCTCCTGGGAAACTCTTACCATTCCAATTAGGCAAGAAGAGGCAAGATAGTAAAATATACTTTGAAATACCACTGGGCATTTATTAGTTTTAAATTAGCAACTTACTCCATCTAGAATGAAATCCCAAGAAAGAATTTTCCTTTTCCTGGTTTTATTTGACTTGGCAATTTGCTTAAATAATTATCAGTTAACTTACTAAATTTAAGTAATTCATAACCACAAACACACAGTAAAAATTTACTTAGAAAATCAACAGTTTGTCTAAAATACCAAGTTAAGGAATATAAAAAGTTATAAACACAGCATTTGTCTTTTTAAATAAAAGCAGTGATTATGTTCACTGCTTATATTTCCCGTGACCATCCAAGTCAAAAACAACTTTTGTATTTTATGAAACTCTACCAAAATAAACATATAAGAATAAAAAAGGTTCTGATGATATAACTTTCTCCCATCTACCTTGAAAGGCGTATCAAAAGTGATTTATACTGTTAACTAATTTTATACAATTATTTTGTTATCATTTTAAAATAATTGTTAAAATTCTAATTTTGAGGTCAATTGTGTACATAAAGCTTTAAGATAAAAACTTACTTCAGGAACAGAAAAAAATGGCTTTAAGAGCTTATACAAGTGACTGTCAGAATATTTTTTTAAAGTTTTATTTGCTGCATAAGTATTAATCTTGAAAATAGAAACCATACACTAACCCTTGGCCTAACAAATGATGTAGACACTTATAATTTAGGATGCAACAAATTAGCTCAAGATTACTGAGAAAAGACAGCAAATCACTGTCAATTTTCTATATGTCTTGGACCCCTTAACACGTCTCTAACTATCAGATGAAGATAACTCACACAATACAAGTATAGGTACATATCAAGCTGTATACCTTGGCTTACTATATTTTTAAGTCACATAACTGCACTTTTATTATGTTTTTATAATTTAAAATACGTTATCTTAAAGAAAAAATATACTTACTGCCCTCTAGAGGTATGAACCAGTAGTGTAATAAGTGTAGATGTTGCTGGGCATATACAGTTTAAAGCTAACATGGCGTATTTAAACTCTTCTTCACAAACAACATGATCTGTTTGAAATAAAATAGGTAAATTAGAATAATTTACCTTGGGAGAGTAATATTTTTAAATACGAAAAATAAAACATAATGAATAAAATTGCAAAAGTCTCAATATAAACATACTTGTTTTAGAGATGTTTTTATAAGTGCAATTTTATCCCCAGGAAATATGTTTCATAAGAGAGAGTACTAGAGTATCGGTTAAGTGATTTGGGTGGAAATGGGGGTCTATCCTTAATTCTGTCTTTAACAAAATTGGCAAATTTTGGTAAAATTCTCATACTTCTCATGCATCATTTTTACAAGGAGGTGAGTTGCAGGTAGTTTTCAGGTGCAGTCTGGAAAATTTATCAAATACTTGATAAAGTCTCCTTTAGTTTTGATCATCCTGTCATGTGAAACACAACATTACTGATTTAAACAGTATTGATTTATCAAACTCCTAACCACCCAGCATAGATTTTAGAAAGCAATTATTGAAAGATGTGGTAGAGAATATTTGCCTACCGTGGAAGTAAAAGATTTTATACTATGAAAAAACCTATAATATTAATCAACAAAAATTAATGCTAAAATAAATTGAAATAGAAATAATTGTAGTTTAAGTCCTAATGGTCAAAAACTCAAAAGATGATAGGGTCCAGCCAAGAAAGATAATAAATGGCAACTGAAATTCAGTGACATAAAAGCAATAGAGAGTGCTAGAGTTGGTGGCACATGGGCGCGTGCAGGCT